CTTGTTGGGAACTGATTGAGGACACTGACATCTCCAGTGACATTAATACAGTGATCAGTGCTAATAATATAATGTCACTGGCTGGGAAGGGGTTAACATGTACAAGCAATTCGAAGGGTTAATTGTGTGCCTAACAATGTGGTGTTATCACTAAGGGCTCGTTCACACTAGGCTGTTTTGCCAACGCTTGCCAAACGCCCCTATAGCTTTTGGCAAGCGTTGGTCCGGCGTTTGCGGAGCGTTATTAACGCTCGGCAAACGCTCCGCAAACGCCGCATGCGCGGTTTAGCGGCGGTTGCTAGGCGTTTGCCGAGCGTTAATAACGCCCCACAAACGCCTATAATGCAGTTTGAGTGGTGTTACCGCTCCGCAAACGCTCCGCAACCGCGTCGCAACCGCACCGCAAACGCCGGCCGGGCGTTTGCGGAGCGGCACCATAGACGAGAATAGGAGGCTTCAAAGCCTCCTGACTCGTCCAGAGGCGTCCGTTTTGCCGCGACGCGACGCAAACGCTCCCGTTAGAACAGCACCACGCGCTGTAATGTGCAGAATTGGCAGAGGTGTTTGGGAAGCGGTAAAAACGCTTACCAAACGCCTCTCTGCCGCCTGCACACAGGCTAGTGTGAACGTAGCCTTAGGAATGTGTTGTTTTTTTCTCCCTGCTGTGCACATCACTGCTGTCTGTAGAGAGCCCTGTATTGTATACCAACACAGGGCTCTCTTCTGTCATTTGCTCAGCCATCAGGGGGTCCAGGCCATAAATCACTGGCTTTGACCTGCTGATCAGCATGTGCTGGAGAGAATGGTAGCACAGCTGGGGTGGTGGGCCTGTGTGTGCCCCCTACCCAGAAGAGTCAGATCACGTACATGTATGTGACCTGGTGCAAGGGGGCCGCTCTGCCGCAGTATATCTGTGGTAGGTAGTCACCAACTGGTTAATGTAATACTGGAAGTGATTGTCTGGCTTTCCATTCTGTCCCAGTTGGCAGGCTGGTTTCTCATTTAAGTGGATGAAGGCATGTCGTATAGGCTGTATGCCCCAGTGTAGCTTGGAAGATTGCTGAAGATTTCAGCCAGAGGCTGTGCTCCACTGGGCAGGCTGCACAGAGAGGCTCTTCAGACAGTGAGGTTATAGTAAAGTGTTAGCATGCTGTTTATACAGACATAGGTGCAACTGCCATTCTCATATATTAGGTACTACTAGGAGGTGGAACTATGTGGTTATGAAGTCATTTCCTGTCTTTTTGTTTCTGTTGTTTTCCAATAAATAAAGAAGGGCTCGGCCATGTGTCCAGCAACACATTGACAAGAGTCAAATTTGCAGCAACTTTTCAGCAGAAAGTTCATCTTCAAAGTTCTAGTGAGATGACAGGGGGAGAAGAGGATAAAAGTACTAAAAGCTACAGGAGCCTTGGTTTCACCCATGCTACTGACTTCCAAACCCTACTGAAAGAACATGAATGCAGTAATACTGTACATTACACCATACACACCATTGTTGCCATAACGCTTTTTCAGGAAGTGGCTTTTCCTTGGCTTTGGCCTTGACCTTGACCTTGATGGTTCTGAAGAATCCGTAGACGTCTGTGAATAGAAAATGATTTGCTCATAATTTTGAACAATCTAAACCGTTATAGAGTACTAGGTGCTGCTAGCTCTAGTTGTGGCAAAATATACAAATGTGATTGCTAGTGAGAGGCATTAAGACATACTAACCAATTTTAAACAAGGAATTGATTTTTGAAACTAAGTAAAAGTAGAATGTGGCCATTAGCATGGCTTCATAGAGTTCTTTAAAACTCTCCAATATACTGCTGATAATTATAGTACAACAAATACTGTTTGTTTATCTAAAGTGAATTGGTTAACCATTTGGTGCTTAGGAGCAAGAACCTGCTGTTGCCTTTGTTAGCCTCTTCTGTGCACCCCTATAATCCTGGCTTCACACTTGATACCAAGGGTTTGACCAGCCTGACCCCAGGGTTTCCACCTGCAATGTTCCTGGACAGGTTCCTGCATATACTGCCTACCATTATACCATCCATACCTTCCACACCTCACAAACATTCTCTGGCAGTGAATCAATCATCATCATTTAAAACACATACACCAGGAAGATTTACAGTAGCTGCAGTGAATGTTTGTCGATTGTCAAATTTACCGCTTAAGGCCTCATTCACACAGCTGTACCGCTCTGTATGCTTGTGCAAAGAGGCCGTGTTCACCCATGTGGAATGCACAGGCTGACTGTTTAAATCAGTGTTTCTCAACCTTTTTGCAGTAAAGGCACCCTTTAAAATTATGGACAGTCCCGAGGCACCCTTTAAAATTATGGACAATCTTGAGGCACCCCATTCTAAAGTAGGGTGCCTCAAGACTGTACATAATTTTAAAAGGGCACCCCATTCTTAAATGTCAAAAACTATTCTAATAGTTTTATGAATGCAGCAACATCCACACATGTAAGAACACCCAACATTAGAGGTGATTTATTCTTCCAAAGTAAATACACTTTTGCACACTAATACTGACTAGTATCCCAGTATTTCTCTTCTTCAGTTTTTCTCCATCACTGAGCTAATGTGACCTCAGCACTGATGGAGAGGGGCAGGGGAGGGTCAACCTAGGATGCTGTACAGGCAGCTGACATCCTCCTTATCAACTGATGAAGGTAGTAATGGTAGTAATGGTGCACAATGGAAACCTGTGGCTTTGTGTAACTAAAAGGCAGACTTGTCCACCCACTGACTTGTATACACGTTTTGGGCAATTTTCAGAGATTTTGTCAAGGCATCCCATGATGAACTGTTGCCAACAGCAAAGAGAGGCACCAAAGTCCTGATCCCAGAACATAAGCTTGGTAATATTTTGACACATTGCGCTAAAGAACTAAGAATGTAGATAATTGTTTTTAAAAGTATTGTTTTAAATGTACTGTAAGGCCACAACGTAGGTTTCAACCCTGTTTATGTTCACATTCCTAACGTATTAAGGGGTTCACTTACCTGCACCCTGGACCTGAGTGTTCTCCAGTAGGAAGAAGATATGCTGCTACGTACTGCCTTCCGTACCTAAGTAGAGTTGAACATTATTTTACATCAGAGCAATAATGTTTTAACATTTTTGCATTATTTTATCAACTAAAGTAGGCAAAGCTGAGAATGCACCAAAAACCATCAATAATGCTAATATACGTATTGTTGGTTTTTACTGCTGATGGACTTGGCTCAGCTGGTAATGGCTGGAGGCTAAAGAGAATGTGTTACGATGCAAGATGTCTATGTGAAATAAAGCACTGGTGAAATGCAGAAATCTGCAAGATACATCCGTTAAGCCACAGGATGTCTTAAACAATGTGGAAACAGCCTAGCTGAACTAATAGAAGTTAGAGTGTTAATGCGTTGGAGTGCCATTTATCCTTAATGCACCTATACCCATGCAATAACACACAGTAAAATGGGCGTGTTATTGCAAATGTCTGGATGGGCCCTTATAAAAATATCAGAAACATTATCCAAATTATCTTTTTAATTGTCGGCTTAAACATATTTCAGTAATGGTATGCGTGCAATATTTTATATATATATGCCCATTTGTAACATGCTCAGTTTAATACATACATTATATATAATATGTATAAAATGTATATATTACTGGTGAAATGAAAATTCTGGACTGAAAATTCAGAATGCACTTGGCCGAAAACCAAAACGCGCAGTTTTTTTTTTAAATATATTTTTTATATATAATTGTATTATATTCAACTTTAAATGGATATGAATGTAAAAAATACAAACCAGTAACGTAAAATAACTTTTATGTAAAGTAATACATAAAACTTGGACAGAAAATAAAATGAAATATATATAAAATGTAAAAAAATTAAATAGAGGCATTTTTGCATTGAAGTCAATAGGAGTTTTTGCTTTGAGATCAATGGAACACGATTTTACATTGAAGTCATTAGGGGGTGTTTTTTTGCATCGACGTCAATTATGGGGAGTTTTTGCATCAAAGTCATAGGACACATTTATGCATTGAAGTCAACGGGAAGCGTTTTTGCTTTGAAGTCAATGGGACGTGATTTTGCTTTGAAGTCAATTATCATTTTTGACTCATGATATCATTATTGACTCATGATATCAGACAGTTTGCATGTCATTCACAAACACATATAAACTAAACAGTCACAAGTTTGTAGACACCTGACCATCACACCCAGAAGTCTGTAGATTCCTGACCATCACAAATGCTCTTTAGTCTGAATAATTAATGCCCATAATTTTGTCCAACAAGATCATACACACTATATAGCCACAAGTTTGTAGACACCTGACCATCAAACTTAGATAAACGTGTTGGTCATCTCATACCAAACTCATGGGCATTAATATTAGAGTTGCTCTCCCTTTGTGGCTATAACACCCTCCACTCTACTGTGAAGACTTCCATAAGATTTTTTAAATGTGTCTGTGGGAATTTGGGCCCATTTAGCTAAAAAGAGCATATGTAAGGTCAGGTATTGATTTTGGATTAGAAGACTGGCTCACAATTAGCTTTCCAATTCATCTTAAATTCTGCTAGGTTGAGGTCAGGGCTCCATGCAGTTGACTCAACCTTCTCCACACTAGACTTGTAGGGGTAGCAGGGGGGGGGGGGTCTTATTGGGTTCTTCTGGGCTACAATAGGCACTGTGGACAAGATCACTTGCCCTGCACACCTATGCTGTGTCACGCTCATCAATTCCCCAAGACAAGGCGGGCCCTTCTCCCTTTTTCTTGTGATCCGTACCCCTGTCCCTGTTATAATAACACAGGGTCAGTGGGCCGGACCCACAAAAGCCCGCAAATGTAGCCCCGGGAAGGTGGCAAAAATGTTAACCCCTTCCCCCTGGCTGGAGCCATAACTCAGTAACCTACAGTAGGCAACCTGCCTACAACACTAGTCAAACCATATCTTTAAGCAACTGGCTTAGTACACAGGGTCTCAGTCATGCTGAAAAAAAAGAGCCTTCCCCGTATTTTGAAGGTTTTAAAGCTCAAAAACTGCCTAAAGTATCTTTGTATGCTGTATCATGAACAGTACCCTTCACTGGAAACACCTGAACTCTATAATTTAGAGGGGTTTCCACATAATTTTGGTCATATAGTACAGTGTTTCTCAACCTTTTTGCAGTCAAGGCACCCTTTAAAATTAAGGACAGTCCCGAGGCACCCTTTAAAATTATGGACAGTCTTCAAGAACCCCATTCTAAAATGGGGTGCTCAAGACTGTCCATAATTTTAAAAGGGCACCCCATTCTAAAATGTGAAACTATTATAAAAGCTTTATATAACACAGCAACATCCACACACATATAGGATACCCAACATTAGAAGTGATTTATTCTTCCAAAGCAAATACACTGGCACTGACTAGTATTCCAGTGTTTCTCTTCTCCCTCAGTTTTTCTCCATCACTGAGCTATTGTGACCCTAGCACTGATGGAGAGGGGTATGAGAGGGTCAAACTAGGATGCCGTGCAGGCAGCTGACATCTTCCTTATCAACTGATGATGTCATTGGTTGTCAGGATGCCAGCAGCTAGAAGGTCATAATGGTGCACAATGAAAACCTGTGGCTTTGTGTAACTAAAAGGCAGGCTTGTTCCACCCGCTGACCTGTATACAAGTTTTGGGCAATTTTTAGACATTTTGCCAAGGCACCCCTGAAGAAACCTCAAGGCACCCCAGGGTGCCTGGGCACCCTAGTTGAGAAAGGCTGATATAGTATATAATCCTTCCCTGCAGGTTTGCTGTAAAATGCTGGTAATTCTGAGATCTTATATATATTTTTACTTATAATAGGATATCACTTACCTTTTGGTCCAGCAGCACCGTCGATATCAAAATAAATAAACCCTAGATCAAAAACATTACAAGTCAGCTTTCCGTATTGAGTGGTTTAGTAAAAAACAAAGGTCACACAGGACGGCTTGCAAAAATTTGAATATTCATTCATGGAAGCATATAGCCAGTTTGTATACTGTATATTGCATTTATTATGTTCAGGTTTTGAGATGTTTTTTTTATTTTAGTCTGCTAAATATACTGTACAGTATAATGCTTCAACAGAAAATTTGGCTATTCCAGTCAGCAGGTGAAGCTCTTGGCTCCTTTTCACAAATTCACAAGTCTAATCTTACAGCGGTATTAAACTCAAAAACAAAAATGTAATATATTGCAGCTTACAATCATTAGATGTAATGGCTGCATTCAGTTTTTTTTTGTTTTTTTTTTCCTTCCGTTTTTCCCCTGGTGATCTGGCCAGTAACATACTTCTCGTATTATAGAGTGCCTTCACTCTGGATGAAGGAGCACAGGGGGCACCTCTGGAAAGCATAATTGTTAATTTTGGGGGGAGGGGGAGTGTTAGAAATACTAGCAGATTTAGATACACTACCAAATTTAAGCCAAACTCTAGCTAACACTTTATAAGCAGTTAGAGCAAACATTTTTTTCCTTTTCTGATAATTTGTTTGCAAAAATAAATAAAAGCTAATCATTGCAAGCACCACTGACAGTGGTAAGTGGTTTATCTCAACCCTGTAACTGCTACATCTGCAGGAGAGCTTGTTATTTTGAAAAACAACACATTGGCCAGATTGCCAGAAGAAAGACTAAAAAAAGAAAACTAATGCAGCCATCACATCTAAAACTTGGTAAGCTGCAATATAAGAATTGCTTGCTTTTGGATTTAATACTGCTTTAAAGGCAAAATTCACCTTTGAAGCATTCTACACGTTACACCTCTTATAAAATTTGGCAAATAAATAATTTTTCTTCATAAATTTAAGCCAAAATGTATTCTTCTACTTAAACTAACCCAAAACAGTGTATATTTTTAAGTCTGTGTGAAAGCTATAGAGTCTACAAACTATGGGATATATATCTGAAAATTGATCAGTTGAGACCCTAAAATGCTGGACGTTGGTATGGTGTATGGCGGTGGTCAGGATGCTGGTATGGGGTATGGCGGCGATCAGGATGCTGGTATAGGGTATGACGGTGATCAGGATGCTGGTATTATTATTATTATTATTGTACAGTATTTATAAAGCGCCAATAGTTCGCTCAGCTCTGTACATTACAAAGGGGGACAGAACATGTGACAGAACAATACCAATACAATGCAAAACATGAGGGGATCGAGGACCCTGCTCTTTCGAGCTTACAATCTAGGAGGGAGGGGGTGGTGGCACGTGAGGAGATAGCTGTGGGGGATGGAGTGGTAGGAAGAGTGGAGGAGGTCGGCAAGTTAGCAGGGGGTGGGGTAGGCTTCCCTGAAGAGATGGGTTTTCAGGGTGCGCCTAAAGGAGAGGAGAGTAGGTGATAATCTGATGGGTTGGGGCAGGGAGTTCCAGAGGATGGGTGGCACCCTGGAGAAGTCCTGGAGGCGGGCATGGGAGGAGGAGACCAGGGAACTAGAGAGAAGGAGGTCTTGTGAGGAGCGGAGTGTGCGTGCTGGGCGGTACTTGGATATTAGGTCAGTGATGTAGTTCGGGGCAGTATGGTGGACAGCTTTGTACGTCAGCGTTAGGATTTTGAATTTGATCCGTTGCGCAATCGGAAGCCAGTGGAGGGATTGGCAGAGGGGGGTGGCGGAGACAGAGCGGTTGGAAAGGTGAATAAGTCTGGCAGCCGTATTCAGGATCGACTGAAGCGGGGATAGCCAGCGGCGAGGCAGGCCAGTGAGGAGGGGAGTTGCAGTAGTCGAGTCGTGATATGATGAGGGAGTGGATGAGCTGTTTAGTGGTTTCTGGGGTTAAGAACGTGCGGATTTTGGCGATGTTGCGGAGGTGGAGTCTGCACGAGTTTGTTAAAGATTGGACTTGGGGCTGGAAGGATAGGTTGGAGTCCAGAATGACACCCAGTACTCTGGCCTGCAGGACGGGTTTGATGGTAGCGTTGTTGGACGTGACGGAGAAATCAATGGGGGGTGGTGTCCGGGCTGGGGGGAAGACAAGAAACTCGGTTTTGGAGAGGTTCAATTTAAGGAAGTGGAGCGACATCCAGTCTGATATGTCGCTCAGTAGGTGTGTGATTCGGGCTGAGACCCAGGGGGTGAGGTGGGGGGTTGAGAGATAGATTTGTGTGTCATCGGCATAGAGGTGGTAGTTGAAGCCGTGAGAGTGTATGAGTTGGCCAAGGAGGAGGTATAGATGGAGAAGAGAAGGGGTATGGCGGTGATCAGAATGCTGGTATGGGGTATGACGGTGGTCAGGATGCTGGTATAGGGGTGTGACGGTGATCAGGATGCTGGTATGGGGTATGGCAGTGGTCAGGATGCTGGTATGGGGTATGGCGGTTATCAGGATGTTGGTATGGGGTGATCAGGATTCTGATATGGGGCATGGCTGTGATCAAAATACTGGTATGGGGTATGGCTGTGATCAGGACACTGGTATGGTGTATGACAGTGATCAGGGTGCTGATATGGCGCGTGGAAGTAGTCAGTGTGCTGGTATGGTGTATGGGGTGATCAGGATGCTTGTATGGGGTATGGCTGTGATCAGGATGCTGGTATAGGGTATGGCTGTGATCAGTATGCTGGTATGGGGTATGGCTGTGATCAGGACACTGGTATGGTGTATGGCAGTGATCACGGTGCTGGTATGGGGTATGAAGGTGATCAGGATACTGGTATGGGCTATGGTGGCGATCAGGGTGCTGGTATGACATTTGGTGGCACAAAAGGTCGGTGGGGTGGGGTATGGTGGTGAACAGGATGCTGGACTCAAAGATCTCAGCTCTGACCTGCTGTGCTATTGTGTTCTGACATCCCCCCCCCCCAATAGCACAGCAGGGGGAGATCGCTGTACTAACACCGCATAGTTAATACAGTGGCTCCTTCTGAGGTGTCCGTTTTTTTTTTTTTTTTTCGTTTAGCCTGCTGCAGTGTGTACTAGACTTAACAGACATTAAGATAACTCCTGACCAGGGGCGGACTGACCATTTGGAAACTCGGCCACTGCCCGAGGGCCCGGGGTCAGTAGGGGGCCCCATGAGATGCATTCAAAAAAAGGGGGATTTGTGAAAAGAAATTCACAGAGAAAGCGGCTACATTATGAACAGAACGTGACACTCAGAAAAAATTTCCAAAAATTATGCTTTATTACACATATATAATTATGACATATGGGCGTTCGCCCTGGTTTACCATCACCTCAGTATGAGACAATACACACAGACCTAAAACCATATAAAATGACATCAAGACCGGTCTAAATGCATGTGCAACAGAAAAAAATGACTGCAAGAGTCTAATGTCCCTGTAGCACAAACACATAGGTGAACACTTCCCAAAAGAGGTGTATCCAAAAAATTATACCATAGGCATACCATAATGTTAATTATTATATGTAGAACAATACCATTATGGTGAATCCCAATCAGGGAATCCAAAAATT